TGTACCCCCCGCCCGCCACGCGGCCGGAAGCGCGGCCCGGAAACCCACCGAGAGGGGCCCGCGGGCCAGAGCGGCGCGGGGGGCGCGGCCCGCCAGAGACAGCGACCCCTCGCGGCGGGAGCCGGCACTGCAACCGGGACGGGGTCCGGGATCCGCTCGCGATCCCCCGGGAATGAGCCCGGGGCTGGGGCAGGCAGGGAACGCGGGGAGCACTGCCGGGAGTGGCTCGGGGGAGGCAGAGAACAGACCTCTGTGTCGCTCCGTTTGTTTTCGGAGCTGCTGGTCCAGAGGAGGGCACGGAGATGCTCCAAGGGATGCAGCCTTGGAGATGCTCCAAGGGATGCAGCCCGTCTGCTCTGGTAGAACTACGGGTGTTCAGCCTGGAGAAGGGAAGGGTCCAGCAAGACCTCAGAGCCCCTTCCAGTGCCTAAAGGTGGGTTGTAAAAAGATGGAGAGTGACTCTTTACAGGGGCAGGCAGCGACAGGACAAAACTGAACAGTTTTAAGCTAAAAGAGGAGAGATTCAGATTAGATATAAGGGAGAAACTTTTAACAGTGAGGGTGGTGAGGCCCTGGCACAGGTTGCCCAGAGAAGCTGTGGCTGCCCCATCCCTGGAAGTGTCCAAGGCCGGGTTGGATGGGGCTTGAGGCAACCTGGGCTAGTGGAAGGTGTCCCTGCCCATGGCAGGGTAAGGTCCCTTCTAACCCAAATCGTTCCATAATTCTGTGGTTATATTTCCCTAGCGGGCAAAATCTCTGCACACAGAAGGTTCAGAGGATGCTCTTGCTGGAGCTGAAGCTACAGGAGAGTTAATACATGGTAAATCAGTATTTTAGATCTAATTTTCTGTTGATGGTTTTCAAGCCCGCCTGTTTATGTTGAATTGTGCTGCTCTTTCAGTGGCTCTGACAACCCCACTCCTGGCTAAGCAAGAGGCTTTCAGCACTAATACAGGTACCTCACTCATGAAATTTAATAAAAAATTTACCTCCAAGACATTTCAGTATAAACAGCTTAGCAGAAGAAAACCTCTCCAACAATAACTTGCTCTCTGATGGCTCATTAAAAATGAGCCAGAGCTTGGTTTATTTCTGCAATAATACATTTTAGCAGACCTTTTATAAAATATACATACAGGTCTAAATCATGCAAAACCTGGATGGGAGGAGCAGCTGGTGAAGCCAAGCACCACAGCACGAGCAAACACTCATTTTCGGGTGGCCCATTAAACCTTAGTGTGGCCTCTCAGTGCTGGCACATCCGAACAAGGGGATGGAATGACACAGGGACAGGGTTTGTCCCATCAGCCCAGCCCCACACTGTGCCAGCTGAGCAGGTAATTCAACACTCTGGTTCCCCAGGAATTGATGCCTGCACTGCTCAGAACCTGCTCTGAATACTAAACTATTCCATTTCCTTGTGATTTTTCTTCTGGTGATTGTAAATACACAGCTGGAATGTTCTACAAATACTAAGTAACATCTTTCCAGTCCCTGTGAAAGCAGAGGTCACGATCCCCGTTTTGCACAAAGAATTGTGATGCAAAGAGATGGATGAAAACACAAATGGGCTCAGATCTGAGGAGCTGGCTTTGCAAAACCTGCTCTTGCGCTTTTCAGAGCACGAAACCCTTCCCTGCTGCCCCCTGACCAGTGCTCACAATCTGAGGGATATTTCCTCTCCCAACACAGCCCCTGTTTTCACGTGTTGCTGGTTTCACGTTGGAAGCAGTACTGCTCAGTGTTCTTTTTTTCTTTCAGATTCATAGAATCATCCAGGTCGGAAAAAACCTCCAAGATCACCACATCCAACTGTGACTGCAGCGAATCCTTTAATGGTGCCAGGAGGTGCCCAGAGCACGGGAGAAGAGCCCTGCAGCCTGAGGCTGGACCCTGGAGCCAAAAGTGCTGTGGTCACCTGAGGCTCCTTGAAGGGCCAGATGAGCCAGCCAGGCTGTGCTGGCACCCTCACAAAAGAGATGGGCTTTTCCAACTGAGACCCTCAAAACATTGTCTATCACCAGTCCGTCAGGGAGGTGGGAGAAGCACCCAGACACCCCACTGTGGACAGGGAGAGCCACTGATTCTCTCAGAGCAGCACATCAGGGCAGCACAGGGGCACGTGTGTGCAGAGCAAAAGCATTTCACACCCTTTCATGGATTTCACTTGGGAAGGCAAAAGCATTTCACGCCCGATGCTGCGGAGGGTTCAGCCTGCTGCCCCTCTTTGCCCTGGCCCCCTCACATGCTGTCTTTTGTCTCCTCTTTGTCACAGCACTGCTGAACCAAGCCACAGGCCCATGGAGTGCCTGACTGGCTGCCACACACCCCCAGGATTTCATTCCTCGTGGGTGCAGCACTGCCCAGGCTGTGGCCAGCTGTAAACGTTGTGTATCTCCTTTGTACAGCTGAGCCCGGGCTGTCTGGCTGACGGCAGGGACAGCGCTGAGAAAACAAACAACATTCTTTTTTTTTTTCCTTTTTGATAAAAGAAAACATTACCTCTCTGAGATTTACACAGTAGATCAAGCACAGACCTGAATTATCTCCCTCTTCTCTTTCTCCAGGGAGCAGATAATAGGTAGATCTATCCATCCGTCTGCTTTGTTACACGTCGCCCGGCTTGGCAGCGTTTCGGTTGCTATTAAACCATGCTCACCCCCCTTGACATTTAAAGGGCTGTTGTGTGATTACTGTCACAGTCTCCTACGTGGATCCTTAAACCAATTCTCTTCTCTTCCCACCGATGATGGATTTTCTCGTTTATGCCACAGTAATTTGTTTTTCTCTCGCTGCGCTCCGGCAAAATGCTTTCACTGTCAGAAGTGGTTTCGGGAACAACCCGTCCCCGCCGTGCCACGTTACGACCAAGCAGCTCTGGGCAAATTGGAGCTGCCCTGTCTTTCAACAGCATTAGCAAAACTCAAGAGCATGTGGGTCTGTGAGCCTGGTCATGCTGGGGTTGGATCCACCTGCGTTTGGAGTCGCTGCTGTGCTGTGGAACGTGGCAGGACAGTGCTGTGAGTCCTGGTGTGGGGCTGTCAGCTCCCACAGCTGATCCATTGTCCCTGTGAAGAATATCCTGTGGGATGTGTGGATGTTGGTCCCACGGGGAGGAGCATGTGGTGCCTGGGAGCAGGGAGTGGAGGCTTTCTGCCTCCTTGGGGGCAGAGGTGGGAAGCTCCATCAGCTCCAGGGTTTGCAGCTCAGCACACACATGGGGAGAATGCACAGACCAGAGGGTTTGCTGTCACCAGAGCTTTTCCAGGTGATGTGCAAAGGACAGGAACATTTCAGTGCATCAAGTCCTTAAAATCTCTTTGACCTCTCTGTGTTCTCCTGTTGGCAAGACCAGAAATGTTGAGGATGGTACCCAGCTCTGCCCAGCGCTGGTTGAGCAGTTTTGCCAGAAAGTTGGTCTCACATGTCCAGGCACGGTGTTCAACAGCTAAAAGCACTTACCAGAGAGTTTGAAACATGAAGCTGAGCCCTTGGCCTGTGCATGTTTGTACTTTGGTTACCTGATGTGAAAACCTCACTGGGTACATGCTCCTGGCCTGCTCCCACCACACACAAACTCCTGCTTCTCCTGGAGCTGCTCACACTGAGAGACTTCATAGTCCCTTATGGTTGGAAAAGACCTCTAAGACCACCGAGTCCAACCATTAACCCAACACCACTGTGTTCACCACTAAACCACATCCTCAAATGCCACATCCACACGCCTTTTAAATCCCTCCAGGGATTGTGACTCCAGAACTGCCCTGGGCAGCCTGTTCCTGGACAACCCTTTCAGTGAAGAAATTTTCCCTAATATTCAATCTAAACTTCTCCTGGCACAACTTGAGGCTGTTTCCTCTCATCCTGTCCTTTGTTCCCTGGGAGCAGAGGCTGACTCTCACCTGGCTCCACCCTCCTGTCCAAGGAGTTGTAGAGACTGAGAAGGTCCCCCCTGAGCCTCCTTTTCTCCAGGCTGAGCCCCCCCACCTCCCTCAGCTGCTCCTCATCAGACTTGTGCTCCAGACCCTTCCCCAGCTCTGTTGCCCTTCTCTGGACATGCTCCAGCACTTCATTGTCCTTCTTGTAGTGAATGGGACCATCGATGTGCTCCAGTTCCTGCTGCCTTGGAGGAGTGAGTGGGACTGCCCTGGCCCATGTCACACTTGGAAAACACATCCCCCAGAGATCAAAATGCAAGTGTTCCCATTGGGTGGAGAGTGCCATGGCTGGTCATGTCACCTGGACACCTGAGCCCAAGGCACTTGCAGAGGGCACGTCCCTCCCGCCACGGTGCCATGGAGTGTCTGAGCTGAAAGCTCAGGGATCTCTGGCTTAACCTAAAAAACAAAGTGAAAATTTCTTACTCCACAGAGCTCAGTTGTATCTAGAATTATTCCCATCAGCGTCTCCTCTGCCCCCAGTCCCCTGCTGTCAGCAAAGGTTGCAGAGGTTTGTGTATCTAATGGATTGTTATTCAAACCCACTTGCTTGTAGAGAAATATCCTCGACCAAATCCAGCTGTGCTGGGGAAAGATGTTTTCTCTCTCAGGCACTCATCACTGTCCCCAGCTGGAGGTTTCTGTCCTATCAGCCTGCCAGCTGGGCAGTTTGTGTGCATGATTCAGGTGGAGCCAGCTGGGCTGGTGTCCTCCACTCTGAAGATGATAAATCTGAGAGCCGGTGGCCTGCAGAGGAGCACGGTGGTGGCCAGGCATCTGCTGATTGCAGCACATCCACTCTGCTGCCTCCCACCTACCGGGGGCTTTTTTTGGAAGAATAACTCACTGTGGCAGAATTTCTGCCAGACCCAGTTCCATAGGGCTGTGCTTCCCTCATTCCAGCTGTACCAGGTGTTGTTTGTCCTCTCCAGCAGACAGCAGCAGCACTATGTCATAAAGCTGGACTGCCTTTTGAGGCACAGACTAACTGTGCCCAGCCCTGAGCTCCTCTGTGCTGCACAACAGCATCCTCAGACCTCTCCACAGAGCTAAAACACATCCCAAAGAGGGATGGAGAGTCCTCCCCAAACTGCCCAGTTTGGTGT